CACACACACACACACACACACACACACACACACACACACACACACACACACATACGTATCGAGATGGGGCACCCTCTATTATCGGCACTACAATTTCGATAATTGCAGTGTCACAATAACACTTCCATTCAGACAACAATATAACCCAAAACGCATTTACACCCATTCCTGCCTAACATAGTTTTTTAACATAGTACCCAGCGGCAACCTATCAATTTAACAAGAAATGCATAAACACCCCATGTGAGGACCGGTGAATATCGCATCATGATTTGTGGCGACACATCAATATAACCTGAAACGTGTAAACGCCCATGCCCGTCTAAGGCTTTCCTACGCATCAAACACAATTTTCTTAATTACTGCTCTCGTTGACCGTCCCGGTTGTTGCGCGTCCTCTTCGACGTCACCTTCCAATCATGGTGCAGCGTGGTCATCTTTCTGGTCATTATCTTGGATCATATCCTCACCCGTACTCTCCGATCTCATATCTATTACGGAAATGTGTTCGCGAGATCCCTCACCTTTCTTCATTTCCTCTGTTGTTGCCGCCACCTGCTCTGGCGCCACCTTCACGGTCTGGCTTTCAACATCCTGGCCCGCATCGGTCTCCATCATTTCAGATACGCCTTGCCTCGCCGCCACTGTCGCGACAAGAGACCCAAAAGATGCAACGATTGTTGCCCCATCGTTGACCCCGCGCGTTGGCGGCTCTGTCAATGTGCCCGACTCCATGTCACCGCCGTCCTTGCGTATCATAGTGGAATCCCTCATTGCGCTTCTCTGTGTGTTTTGTTGAATACATGCTCGCAACTGTTCATTCTGTATGTGACCTGCGTTCGCACGTGTGTCCGTTTCGCGGCCTGCATCCCCTCTGGCCATCGCAACGATGGTGTTAGACGCGATGACGTCTTGAGTCTTCAGAGAGGTGATGCTATCGATTCCTTGCACTGCTGACGCTTGTTTGATTTTCCAATCGATGGAGCCCTACGACACACTTGATGCAAGGTCGTATAATTTTGTGCTGAATTCTAGTTATTTGTTCGCACGCAGTTGCTCAAACAAAGCTTTCGCCTTTGCCGTTACAACCACCTCGGTTGCACCGACATTTTCTTGTGCAACCCGCCAAAAACGTTGTGTCTCCGTCACACTGTGCCATATCGCAGCGTCCTTTCTTTCCTTCGCGACTCACCTGCGGTCTCTTGTCTTCACAACCATTTGCCACTTGCCCGCAAACACGCACGGTTCGAACACGCCCTCATGCAAGAGAATATGATGACCCCAGTCCTTCTCCGATGACTCCTTGTACTTGTCTTGCAACAAGTATGGCACTGAAGGGTCTTGAGCAAAGCCTTGAGGTAACGGTTTTCTTGGCACGAGCTTCGACATGACTGCTGTCATATCCATGTCTTCATCTTTATCTGTGTCCATCGACGTGAGTTGCTGCTCGGCCTGCGGTGCATGTGTCGATGATGGTCCAGCTGTCGGCGGGGTCATTTCACACCCATTCTCTCCTCCCCCTGTGTTGCCCCGTGAGTTAACAATTCCCTCACTCGCACCCACCGGGTTCGTTGGTACACCATTATTTTCTCCCCTTGCATTCATTCTCTGTTCCACGTCTCCCTCACTCGCATGTGTCGCTCCCAAACTCGACCTCTCCTTCTCCGCTTCTGCGTTGGTGATCCCTTGCGGCTCCTCGGCACGTGCTCCCTGCGCCGAACGTCGTGTCGCACGCGACGGAGCGTCCAGGTCAGAGTCTGACGTATCTTCGTCACAATCGATGTTGTTGAAGTTCCCCGCTTTACGTACCAAGTCCGCATAATCCTTGCATGACAGTGCTATTTTCTTCATATTGAAATACAGATGCTCACAACGTGCGACGAATATGTGGAAAACACCCATGTGCGATCCGTGGTATTGGTTCATTGCTATCTCGAGTTCACTTTTTCTGATGACGTATTCGTTATCAACCGCCGACCGTGGAGCGTCACCGAACAAGTAAGCCCACACTTTCTCCCTCTTCCTGCCGAGATTATAGTAAATGTCCCGGTCCTTGCGGTGCTCGACTTGGGGTTTTTCGAACCTGCATTTGTTTCTCGGATCCTTCACATAAAACTCCAAAAACTTGGAAAGGTATGTGAGCTCTTTTGTCGTGTCGTCACACGCAAACACGTGGTGTCTGGCGCGTGCGAGTTCCCAAATCAGTCCCGCATGCGCCCTGCCCAACAGCATCGCGTCATCGTCCTCCCTGATGAACGAGCTGCACAGTTTTCGAAGACGTGCTGACTCTCGTTCCATCCAAGAATAAACCGCGTCGGTGTCACCCTCCACGCCGATACACTCCCCTGAGCACCTCACAAATTCACCCTCTTCAACGTTCAAATTTGTCAACTCGGCTCGCGATTTCGGCGTAACCGTTATATTGTCCAAATTGTCGTTCTCGGCGTGGAGGACAATAGCCATCATGTCAGTGTACCGAACTGCAATGTTGTCGTACTTGTTCAAGGTTGTCGAAGGTGTATAGTGTCTGTACCATGACCCTGTAAGCACCTCAACATCATCCCAGATGTACACACTCTGCATCACCTGTTTCTGGTGTTTCATCGGCGCGAAAATGATCAAGGCCCAGTTTTCGCCACAGCATGTCATGAGGAAAGCGTACAGTTTGGAAAAGGCGTCATCATCCCACGGAACACATTTCGGTGATGTTGACATATCAAGAATGGTTGCCCGTATCTTCATCCCCCTCGCCGTACCAACAACCTCCTCGTTGTCGGTGAGCACTCCCTTCGGTTCGATTTCAAATGGCAGGATCGTGGTAATCCTCTTCCCCACTTCCCAAAATATGTGACAAGCACTGGAGGATATCCGATTAACCTCCGCTCTCAGGTCGTCAAAGCAGTCGATTGCCTCGTAGATGAAACACTTGAGGTGGAACGGGGTTTACTTGTACATGCCTTGGGTTGCCTCCAGTCCCGCACCGTTCTCACAATTAATCTCATCAGGACCGCCCAAATGCCTCGACACCTTCCTCGCCTTGTCGTCAGGGATGAGGTCGCGTTCCTCGGTCCATTTCTCGTCCGTCAGGCCGTTTTTGCTGTACCTCTCCAAGATGGTCGTATAACCGATGAAAAACTCAGCGCTCCACTCTTCTTTTGACCTCCCCTCGGCCTTGAACAATATGTAGTTGAACATACGGACCATATATCTTTCACGCCGAGTATATTTAACCAGGTCCGCCATGTTGCATCTACCACGAGGTACTGAATGTGATGTCACGATGACATCACCACGCATCATCTGGTGAAGCGCCACTTGCTTCTCTCTCGCTGTCATATCGCCGAACAGCTTGAAGATTGTCGGCGTCAAGTCAGGTATAGACACCGTTGCGCCTGATGGCCCCTTCCTGGCCTTGATGCAGAGGAACAAGACTTTTTTACCAGAGTTGTCCTTAAGGAAGTATTGCCCAGGCAGTCTCCCTTCCACTTTCCCCGACAGGTTGATGTATCTCACACCGTCGACTCGCGGCAATAGCCCCTTCTCGTACATGTCGAAGAATTTCTCTACTAGTGGCCATACTGTTTCGCCGCATTGCGCAAGATTCATGTATCTGCGCATCTTGTTCGTCCAGTCCTTGCAATAGTCGTTCTCCAGGGACGAGTTCATGAGACCGGAATCAGGTGTCATTTTGCAGGCGGCGCTCATGAATTCTTCCCGTTTCTTTTTCCGTTTCATTCCCTCGACGTCATTCGGGGACACGGTCCCTAGCAGACGGATCCGGCCATTTCTCTTATCCCAAAATGTTCTAATTTGGCGCACAGATGATGAAAACGATCTCAGGATCGAACGCTCCTCCCTCGTGTTGACCAACGTCGGGACGTACGGATATCCTCTCTTTCTGTCATCGTCAAAGTAGACAACACGTACGTGAGAGTATGACCTCAAGCCATACACTTTCTCGGTCGGTGACTTGTCTTTAATGAGTCTATTCATTGCCTCAGCCGTGTGCTGGCCAGCGATGGCATACCAGTTGTATGTATGAGCCAGTTCGACGTCGAATTGCTCCGGTGTGATCCGTCTGCCTTGAGACCCGTCCCTGTTGGGCACAATGGGAGCCAGGATTAAATTCATGAAATCCCACTTCCCGTTGGTTTCCTTGGCCGCATGATGGATCGCATCATATATGGACTGCATTAACGTTTCGTCCAACGTTCTATGGTTGAAGAGGATGTCACCTTCAGGGATTGGCAAGATCTTTGTGACGTCCACTTCAATGTGTTCCCTTTTCTTCTTTGCAAACCCATCTTCATTGAACTCCAAGAAGAAGCACCGTGGTTTGTCCATAGCTTCATCACGGGTGTCGGCAGAAGGTTGTGTGTGTTCCGACATATCTCTTGGAGGAACCCCTTCGGTATCCTCTCCAGAGTCACCCTCATCCACCATCTGCTAGTGTTTCAGATCTCAAGTGTTTAATTATCCAATCCATAACTATCTGAATCTTTTGGTCTAGGCCCATCTCCTAGGTGGGGGCATCTGGGTCTTTTTGGCTATCCATTTCAACCTCTGGAGGGGGAGGGGCCGTGTCGATGTCCATTGGTTGAGCTCTGAAAGCATCCGAGAAGAAGTCCGGAGCCAGGGCTTGACATCCTTCGGATGTGGCCCCCTGTTCACGATGCTCTTGCAGTGTTTGGTGTACTTGATCATCCGGCCACGGGTGCTGTCCCTATTGAAGCCGCTCCGTTTGTTGTGCCAATTGGTCTAAAGGTTGCACCATCTGCATTTGTTGTGCCTGCTGTGACATTGTTGTGTGTGATGCCTGATGACATTGTGATTGCTGCACTTGTCTCGCCCGTGCTTGCTACTTCAGTTTCACGAAAACAAGCCTCCAACGAGGCTTGTAAATGAATGGGAAAATTGAGCCGCACTTGCTGTAAGTGCACCGGTTGTTGTGCCTGATGTGTTTGTTGCGGCTGTAGGGCTTGCATATGTTGTGGCAGGGGTGCCTTCTTGTTCGTCGTTCCAGGGGGTTGCACCGGCTGCATTTGATGTGCAGATTGCGGCTCGTGACTCTTTAGTGCCGGTTGTCACAGTTCCTCCGGGTCTTTCCCCATCCCGGCCACCTCCTCTACACTTCCGCCCTTTTCGCTACCTCCCTCCAAAGCGCCACCTGGGCCCACCACAGCAGCTGCAGACACCTGGCCTCCTCCGAGAGTCTCCTTATGTCTTGTGCTTGGTACTGATTTTCCCCGGTCATCTCCCTCCTCCAGGTGTGCAAAACTGTTGTTGCTGGGTGCCCCCTCCACCCCGGGTCCTTTTGCCAACAACCCTTTCTTCCCCTGCTTTTTCCTTCTGACTTGCTCCCATGTCTCCCCTTTCCCCTTCGGTTGTTGTAAGTGGGACTCCAAGGTGTTAGGGAGGACCCATTTCTCAGGTGGTTTTGTCACTTTTGTGTCATGCCGGGGTTCGCCTTGCCCTTCCCACGACCATCCCGCGACATCACCTCCCCCCTCCTTTGTAGCATCAATATAAACCCACCCCTCGTGACCCGGGTCAACAGTTCACCATCGCGTTTTTACAAAGGAGTCTTTCTTCAAATGACCTATGAGTTTCGTTGTGTGGGAGGGCGGGCACAGGTTGTGTCGGTGTACAAGTGCCCATAAGACTGGCATTTAAAGCAGCAGGGCTGGTGTTTATGGGCAATGTGTATGCGGTACATCTTTCCGCCTATGCAATACGGGATTATGTCATCAATTGTGAAGATCTGCCCCTCGGCCAGAGTCACCAGGCGGATGACCAACATCAGGTAGTCATCTCGCCGTGCTACATGCGTGGGTAGAGGGTCAATGAAATTAAGTATTTCTTTGCAAAATCTTGCACGAAAGTCGCCTGGATCTCGATCGGGATATGCCTAAATTCTATCGGGAAAAAATACCTCATCATTTGTTCCCTTCGTTCCTCCAGTCGCTGCTGTTTCGGGGGAGACCAGGGGAAGATCCGCACTTCCGATCCTCCACAACAAAGTGATCTCCACCCGTCCAATGCTCTTTTGTCAGCGTCAAGCATGCAAACGACCGTGATGACGGAGGACGAGACTGGCTGTATTAGAAAGAACTCGTGTGCACCCTCCGAGGATCCCTTGAAGACTCTCAGACATTCTCTAGTCTAGCCAACCTTGTCATTCATGACTTGAAAGTTGCATCGTCATCAAAAGCCGCATAACACGAGTAAAGTTCATCCCGCGTTTTTACTGGTTTTCGGGGGAGTGCCTTAACCATGGTAGACCTGCCCCCTTTTCGGTGGACGTTTCTCCGCTTTTGTCGCCCTTGTTGACGCGGACCCTTTTCGTTTCTTCACGCTTTCAGCGACCGCCTCTTGAGAAGCTTTGAGCGCCTGTCGAGATGTAGCGACAATGAGTTTCTTCGCAGCGCGCTTATCCGCCGCCGCCGTTGGACTTGTTGAAGATTGTCGCTTCCTTTTCTGCACACTGGCCTCCGACCGCTTTCCTGTTGCGTCGTCGACCCCCACATCAGCCGACCGCTCTTGCCATCCATCGTCATCACCTACAGGATAGGCATGATCGTTTTCTCCATCGCCCCCATCGTCCTCCTCATAGTATTGTTGAGACTCCCCACCCTCGCAGTCGTGCATAGTTTCCCACGATCCTCTCTCTCTCTCTCCCTCTCGCTGTTCTCCTCTTCGACGTCGTCCTCATCGACACCACATTCGTCATCGTCGACGGCATGATTACCCTGTGGATGTCGATCAACACATACCCTAGGATCGTCCTCCATTTCCTCGTCCGATCCTTCACTCATCTCCCGCAGCGCCGCCTTCCTGGACCCACTACCTTCGTCCTTCTGGCAACTGGGAGAGGGACGAGTTGGCAAGGCCTTCCTTTTGTATGTGATGACAGGGGTGCCTTGGTCTTGCAGGCTGGATGGTTGAGATGGTCCAACACACTCCATCCGGCGGGACGAACCCACAGGAGGACCATCCTCATCCTCGCCGGCCCCCACTCGCTGACGTCTGCTGCATTGGAAAACTATGTGGCGTCCTCTGTCTCTCTGTCATTGCTATACTGGGAAGATCCTCGTCCGACGTGTCAAAAGGCACGAATGTCGGGGACATACGATGGCCGGCCTCAACCGTGGGACTGTTTCCGGATCTCCTGTAGCCGTTCATTTTGGCGAGGAATTTAACGGGGCCAAGCATCGTTAACACACTCCCGTCTTCTTTCGGGGACACATCGAAGGCTTTCATGGTAATAGCCTTACCGCCATACCCCTTGAACAGATTGTAATCAAGGCTTACTTTACGGTCGGCCTTCGCATGGTCCAGTCCTTGTTAGTCGAACACCGTTGTGAGGAAAAACCTCCTGAATTTCCGTCCGTGCCCGTCCACCCTCTCATCCTCGGATTTAATAATCCCTCCAACACAGAACCAGTCGTCACCCGAGGCGTTCTTCAGAAACACAGCGGCCCCACATYCCGCCTCGTGTAGCCCCCCCCCCCAATCAAGGGCCCACTCCCTATCTCTATAGATTGTGCACGTGTTGTAGACTCTCTTTTCTGGGACAACACATGCTCCTCCTAATGGCAGGCACATTCCAAACGAAGGAACGGATCGCATTCAGATTTCAAACCTTCCACCATCGCCTTACGTGAGTCGCCGACGCATTCGAGCGTCGCATTGTATAGGGCGTTCTGAAAACGCCCTACCCCGTCCGGTTCCGCGAAGCAAGGCCAAGGGGGGCACGGCGTTTCGAAAACGCCACACCCCGTCCGGTCATTGGAGACGAGAGGGGGCGGTGATACAGCGATCTCGAAGCGCCGCACCCGTCGGCCCTGTCCACCTACGGGGCCGGGCTACGGCGTTTTGGGAACGCCATGCGGCCCACCTCCCTATCCTCTCTGAGAACTGGAGGGGCACAGCGTTTCGAGACCGCCGTACCCCCGCTCCCACCCCCACCGAGAACCGGAGGGGGTACGGTGTTTCTGAAACGCCGAACCCCCTGGACCCTGTTCACATACAGGGCGGACGGGGCACGGCGTTTCGAGAACATCTTACCCTCGCTCTCACCCCCCACAGAGAAGCGTAGGGGGTACGGCGTTTTCGAAACGCCACACCCCCTCGACCCTGCTCACATACAGGGGCGATGGGGTACGGCGTTTTGAAAACGCCGTTCCCCCTTCGGTTGCCGGGTGGGGGCGGGAGTGGGGGTACGGCGTTTCGAGAACGCCGCACCCCTGCTCCCACCCCCACCGAGAACCGGAGGGGGTACGGCGTTTTCAAAACGCCGTACGGCCGAGAGGGTACCGCGTTTCAAGAACGCCGTACACTCCACCCCGCCCCCCCTTTTCACGGTTTCGCCATAAGTGAACCAGCGTTTCCCACCCTGTACAATCAGTCCCCTAAATGGCACTGCCAAAAAAAAAAAACGGAAAAAGGTAAGAACAAAAAGAAGAAAGAGATAGGGGGAGAGATAAGATGGAGATCTTCTCCCCCCCCACCCCACCTCATGGTTTCGCCATGCGTGAAGCAGCTTTCCCCACCCTGTTCCATCTGTCCCCTACATCGCAAAGCCATAAAAAAAGACACGGGAGAAGGTG